TCGGCATGGCAGTAAGGACATGCTTTATAACCGTGTACAGAATAACCTGATAGCATTCCATATGTAGGAAAGTCATTAATTGTCCACATTAAGGCTGCACGCATTGTGAATGTTTCCCCTTTGTCTGCATCATATGTCTCTACACCATCAACGAATAAAGATTGTAGCTCATCGATGAGAGGTCGAAGGTAGACGTCGATATTGTTGCCCGGTGAACTCGACCCATCAATAAGAAGAGGCATCAAAAAGTATGATTGATTCATCGCTAACCACAGTGAAAGATTATATATCATCATTATAATAGGCCATGAACTGTGCGGATTGCTATTAAAACTAAAGGGGCAAAAACCATCGCTAGCTAATCCAAGCCTAATATTACGAGGATCTTGACTAAATATTGTGTGCAACTTGTCGAAATCCTTCCATGCTGGCGAATCTCTTGGATGACTCATTTTACCATGTTCACTTGGAATAGCACGGTCATGCCAAGTCATTGCCACCGCTGTCTTCTTACACTTGTAGAGCCTCTGCAGCCTCTGTATCACAGGAAAGTATCGTACCACCTTGACCGGTATGTCATTCTTGTTAGCATGTGCTTTCTTCTTATATCTAGAAACTCCACAGTTGGGGGCACTCTTTCATTTTAGAATTTTCTTTCCAGAACAGTACACAATCATTAGGACATGCATGAATCTTCTCACAATTCAAACCCAGATCTGACATTATCCTTTTAGCTTCATGCCAGCTCTGAGGCACATTGTTCCCCAGAGGCATAGAATCTTTCAGGAATTTTAGAAGCATCGTAAATGACTTGTTGCTCCATTTATTTAGGCATTTAATCTGGAAAAGTTGAACGAACCATGATAGTGTGGAATATTTTGTATTCTCATAAATTGGTCTTTTGGCATCTTTCATGTACTTCTCATACTCATCTACATGTTCTTGTCTGGAAGGATGATCATCTTCAGCAAGATCGGAGTCACCAAAAGCAACTTCTATCATTTCCTCCATCTCCTCTTCTGGAAATAAATTTTCTTCATTGTCTTCTTCTTCATTATCGGCAATATTAGGAGCTATGATTTCTCCGTGATATACCCAAATTGTATAATCCTTAATAAAACCATGCTTAACAATGTGAAGTTCTACATCTTCCTCCTTACGATGCAGCCTATTCCCACAATGACTGCACGGACAAAGAATCATCCCATATTGGATCCTATCGTGTTCACGCACAAAATTTATGAAAGAGGCCACTCCTTCAATGAATTCAGGCTTTGTGCGTTTTTCACGATTCACATACATCCAATCCTTAACTCTGATATAGTCACGTGTCATACCAACCTAAATTAGTCAAAGTTAGCGATAAAATTTCTTAGAAAGTAAATTCAGCACATTAAAAATGTGACACGATCAAAATAAAGATAAACAAGTTTCAAATAAGTAAATTGTAAAATTTAGCTTAACAAAACTTTGCAAAGCACAAAGACCAGGTTAATTTAATTTACAATGGATTGCAACCGGTAAATATCATTCATAAAATGCAATACCAATTCATAATGACTAAATATGTAAAACTGACAATTCTCTGTTCTTTACCTCAAATGAAGTGCAAAAAGTGGAGTTGCATTCTCTGTTCTTACCTCAGATGTTACCCAGGATACTGACTGTAGTAACTAGTAAGTGACTTCCTTTAGAAAAGATTTGATCTTTTTCCCTTTCTTTTGGAATCTAAAGGAAATAAAGTTGGCTTCTATAAAACTGAACCCTAAACCCCGTGTCTACGCCCAAATCATCTGTTTCAGTTCGTTGCAGTCCAGATTTTAACCCTAATTTCAACAATAATTAGGAAATCACTCAAATTACGACTTTACTAAAGCCAGACCAAGATCAAAAAATCAAAATCGATACATCAAACCATTTTTCTCTAATTTAAAGTAACAGATCTGTTGAAAAAAAAATAGAATACAACCCATTTTCTATCTAAACATTTAAAACCCATATCAGAAATCAAAATATCAGACAATAGTTACATGCAAAAATAAATCATAGGTTTTGGAAAAAATCGAAGGAGTTACCAGAAAAATCGAAGGAGTTACCAGAAAAATCGAAGGAGTTACAGAGAGGTTGGCCGTTGGCGGCGATGCCGCGGGAGCGGAGGTGTGGCTAGTGGCGACGGCGAAAATCCCCGTCGTCGCATGATCGTGGGCCCCGTAGGCGTACTCAACTCCATGAACTGCACCAAAACCCTAGATCCCGATAACAAACCCTGATTTTTTGACGAGAGAGAGAGAGAGAGAGAGAGAGAGAGAGAGAGAGAAGGGGAGGGAGACAGAGATCAAACGGGGGTTTGGGGGGGATTTTTTTCGTTTTTTCTTTTTTTCGCGAAAAAGAATGGGGGGAAATTTTCCTCCGTTGGCTTTTTTGACAAATACACTTTGCCCCAACGGTTTAACCCGTTAGGGCTGATAAATCTAGCCCCAACGGTTGTATACACCCGTTGGGGCTGGCCATCTTTTTACTAGTGTGAGGGAGGTGCCTAGAAGACATCAGATCACCTAAATAACAACAGGAGAGTACAGTCTCCACCCACTGTTCAGTTTGCACCCAGAATTTATTCAAGAAATTTAAGAATGGGAGGCAATATTCGGGTGCTTATTGTCTATAATATGAAGGACAACACGTCGACACACCTGGACATGCATGACATGCATTTTCATTCTTGTCCAACATTTTCAAGTCCAATATTTACAAAAGTGGAACCCATGATTTCACCTTATACTGACCAGCAACCTGAGACACGTATCTGCATACAACTAGTTACATTATATTCGTAACAAATATGCATTTATAGTTGTGCTGTCCTAATTAACTAACATGTCTTACCCCTCAACCCAATCTTGGAGTAACACAGTTCATGTTCGCATCTATGGTTAATACGTATCATGATTTGCAATTTTAACTCGACGAAACCTAATTAGAACTTTACCCGAAGTTAAGTGGTTTTAGGAAAAGCCTTACTAAGTATTGGACAAAATCAGGTCAAACCCATATCTTTAAACGCATGTTAATAAAGAATAAATCTCAAACTCTCATCTCTCAACAAAAAAACCCCTTGAATAAATAAAGAAATGAAGCAAATTAAGAAGCCCATTGGAAAATCAATTGCCAAATTATCCAAAAACCCAAAGCTAAAAAGAAGAAGAAATGACAAAGCCCAAAAGCCCAAGAGCCCAAGTCCAAGAACAAGAGAAAAGCTCGGACAGTAACAGGAGAGGACTGGGTATCGATGCCAGCATCGATACCCGTATCGATGCTGGTATCGATACCCCTATCGATGCTGGTATTGTTACTGACGTACAGTTTGTTATGAATTAAGAGTTAAAATTTGTTGTTTTTGGATAAGATTTCAATCCAATGACTCTCATTCACTGATGTTTACTATAAATAGGGGTAGAGAGTGAGGAATTAGAGGTGTGAAAACTTTTGTAACTCCACTTGGAGAGGAGGACTACTCTTAATTGAGAAGGCCTTACAAGTTTGTAACTTTTGTTACAATTAATAAATATAATTTTTTCTCCACTTCAAATCATTTTCTCTTTGTTGGATGATGATGATGGAGATGAAGAAAAGTTTGAAGGTTTGCTTTTCTTTTATTTTTCTATTTTATTTCTTTTTAGTAATTTCTTTATTATTGCTTATTAGTTAGATTTATATTCATGCTTGTAGTGTAGATTTATTTTCTTGTCTTTTTATTTCTTTTTGCACTTTAATTTGTAGAGTAGATTTATTTTCTTGTATTTAATTTTTGCAATTTATTTTGTAGTTTAGATTTTAATTCTTTGTAGTTAGATTTATTTCTTGTTCATAGTTTAGATTTTTTTTTCTTTTTCTTTTTGTAATTAGTTATTTTTCTTCTTGCTTTTATTTCTTAAGATATGAAATAAATTCTTGTAGGAATCTTAGAATTGCATGAAACTAGTCTAATTTTTTTTATATTGTATGAATTATTCTCTTTCACTTAAAATATTCATGTCTAGGATAATAAACTAGAAAAATAATTGGTAGAAGAAGAATTTGATAATCTATACTTATCTTAAATGGTTTGATAGGTTATGCTTATGAATTCTAGGATTACTATCTTGTTGTTGTTCTTATCATGAATAATAATTTTGACTTAGATGATAATTTGATAGGTTATACTTTCCTTAAATGGTTTGATAGTCTATGCTTAATAAATCTAAGTTGAAATATGATAAAAAGATAATAGTTTGTATTTTGTAATTGAGATTATCTAGTGGATTAAATTATAGATTTCTCATATCTTTAATTGAATCCTCCATCTTGACTTTCTTGAATATTCTTTTCATTCTTGATTTTATTTCTTGATTTTATTCATTCTTCTTTCTTTCCTTGTGATTTTATTTATTCTTTGATTCTTTCTTCTCTCCTCTAAAATTCAATTTATTGTCTCTTGCATATATTCATAACAATCACTCATCACAATCACACTTATTCTGTAATCCTATTTTTGTCACGCACAAAACATAAGAACCAATTCTAATAATCTCTTAAAATCACCTTCCTCGTGGGATCGATATTTTATACTATAACTTGATCAATTGTGCACTTGCAATTTTGGTACATAATTATGCCGCATTACAACATTTATAAATGTATCTCTCTACACTTTTGAAACCCTTGTATATGAGTTAACAACATTTACAAAAATGCTAGTATCGCAAGCGTGCATATTAGATCCCGACATTCTTTTGCAAATGCTGGTACCATGCCAATTTTGCAAATGCTAGTACCATGCTAACGTTTGCAAACGCTGGCATTCGCCAGCATTTTCTACCAAGCGCTGGCATTTGCTAGCATTTTCTAGCAAACGCTGGCATTTGGTGCCAACATTTGCATCAAAAGCGTTGACAAAGCCATGTTGGTACTGTATTAACCACCCTGTACAATTATGATAATATGTACTCCAAACATTGTAATAGTTTACAAAATAAAAATTTTCTCATTTCACATTTAATACACAACTATTATGTCCCATACAAATATCTCAGTTCTCCCAACTAAACATCAAATTACACATGGATACAAAATCAAACTAGTATTCCTCTCAAATTCCATGTCCCATACAAATATCTCAGTTTCTCCCTACTAAACATCAAATGGCATATGTATACAAAATCGAGCTAATATTCCTATAAAATTCATTGAACAGCTCATCACATCTTTTGCTCTCATCCCTCACATGAGCTCTTTGCTCCTCCCTGTGCTACCTTCTCTTTAACTTTTCTACCTGCAAAATCAAACACAAATAGAATTATAAATTGTAAATCCACCAAAAAGATAGCCTACTATCCAAGTGTTTTTAAAACTAGGCATGCTGGTAATAGTATATAATCTAAACACCGCATTTCAACTCAAAAAGGTTGCAACTTCGGCTCATATCTAAATTTACTTCGTTGACTGTATGGGACTCCAAATTGTTATTACAAGTTGCAACTGTACTTAGCAATTACAATAAAACAAATAACTTCAACTAATCTAAAATGCTCACAGTTTCATGCAACTACGATATGAAACTTGGGACCCTAGTTCAAACCGACCACCTAGAGATCATCCAGAATAATGATACTACCATAACAAAGAAAAGGGATCAAGCTTGGGCCCAAATGTATTAAAACTATGTATGGAACAAGAAATGGGACTAAGCTGATCCAAGAGTCTATTTGCAATGAAAGATTTATTAAGATATTTAGGATGAAAATGAGATGGTCCCAAGCATCAGTAACTTGTCACAAAACAACCACATGTGTGCCCATATCTTGAGGTGAAAAATGCCCTGCTAACTTTTCCTGCATCACAAAAAATAAAATGCAAATTATTTCACCCTTCACTTGTGAATTACATACTACTGTAGTCTCAAAAAATGACAATCAACCAAGATAAATGACTTCAAGCTACAATAGGAACTAGATATAATTCTGAATCCTAGGTACACAGCTGCAAACATACAAAAAACTGACCAGCTTGTAGATGTCAGTGCCCCAATATCGGTTGATACTCTCCATGTCCACTAGAGGTGCTTAGAACCTATTAATACAGAAAATAAAATATTAAAACTCATAAGTTAAACTGTTGATAAATGCTCCATAATAATTGCCTAACAAATCAATACCTAATATAACCCACTTTCAGTTTTCAATCTAAATGATAGGCTCAAGTCTTTCCTAGAGAAAATCAAAGTCTACTTCAGAAACGATAACATAAGCTTAAATTGAATAGATTAAGTAGGGTACCTGTTTATTTCCAAAAATATCATTGTTACTAATATTGGAGTTCTCAACCTCATTACTCCATATTCTTGTCCAAAACTCCATTTGATTTTGCATTTGCTTCATTTGTCTCATTTCTTGTTGACATCCAACTTGCACTTGGGCCATTTCTTGTTGATAAACAGCTCGCATTTGCGCCATTTGTTGTTGATAATTGTTCTCCATTTGTAAAATTATATCTTACATTTTCATTAAGTCAGTTGACACATCAACAGATTGAGACCAACCACGACCTTTTTTTTTTGCAATTTTCCTCTTACTCCTTTCAATTTTGAAGGTGGGCATCGAAACCCATGGCCCCTACTATGGCCATTATTGTCTTCTCCTCTTAACTCAAAGTCCACAAGGGTTTCCAAATCAAGAGTGTCCTCTGACAAGATTCGAGTCCCGATTTTTGCTTGTATTTTATCCATAGCATGATCCTGCAGGAGTTGCTAAGCATCAGCATGTGGTAATAAAACATGTTAGCTAGATGGATGAACATATATATAAATGTTAATAAACATTCGATTAACAAATCCTAGAACTACACTTTACCACAAACCCTTTGGTTTATCATCCACATAAGTGCCATCTTTGCGCATATGACTGATCTTGAAGAATTCTATATCTCCAATTTTTCTTTTCTTCTTCTGTTCCTACCCATATTGTAGCAATAAGAAACAAACGATATGAGTTCAAAGATTATAAAGTAATATTAGGTTGCATCTTACTTTCTCATCCCTCTTTCAAGCAAAACTCTTGGATCCAGTACTGTGAACATGTATCTTACCTTTAACCGCATCCTGACCCTCAGAAGATTTTAGCTGCATAAAAGAATAGTTACCATCTTTGTGCCCTAATGAGTACTTGTGTTACTACTTCCCAAGTACCTGATGCCACCCCTCTATGATTGAGCTAGTCTTTCTTGATATTTGGCCTCTAGTATAAATATAATATGTTCCATTTATTTCAGATTCTATGGCATACATCTAAATTTAAATATAAATATGTTGAGATTTGCATAATAGGAAAAGGAAAATACCTCTGCTTCAAAAAATTGTCAGTGTTCATTTGTCTAATATGTATTGACATTATTAAATTTCCAGCAATTTATAAAGTTTTTACACATTCTAAGCATTTAGAATGAACTGATTTCTATCTAAGATTGGTATTCATATATTATGCTCGATATGTCGTATTTATATATGGGACATACAATAAACAATTCTATATATGTATCTACCGTGTGTGTACACCGTAGTCAGAAACTTTATATAACACAGCCAGAAACTATAACACACAGTCATCAGTCATGATATTTGGAACATCTCATACATGTCTGAAATTGAAAAACTACAAAAAAAATCTGAAAGCTAATGAAAATTCTGCTTTGCCTCAAGATGCGTGCCAAATAATGGTTTTCTAACACTGAAAGGAACAAGTACCCATCCTAAGTTGGAAAACATTTAGCTAAAGAAAATAGATAACAATATGATCTTGCAAATCAGAAAATTTGATGTACAAAAAAAGATTAGCCAAAACCAACAACTTTAAACATAAGATTCAGTATAATGTTAATGCATTATGACTACAAAGTACAAACTTGAGAGAAACGAAATGAAATCGAAGGGGTCTTAGCCTAGCAACTGAGCATTTTAAGGGACAAATCTAGCCTACTGGATGTAGGATTAGAGCAATAAAGTTCTGAATAAACAAAGCATTGCATATATACCTTGCCCTCTGAAGAATACCAGTAATTAACAAGCTTTAACCAGTCGGCACGTTAAATCCCTGGAGGCACATTATGGTCTACTTCTTGACGTGATGGATTCCCCTTGAAAGCTTTTATTTTCAATTCGGCTTTATGATCGCTCCATTTGCAACCAATTTGTTGAAGCACCATATCATCAACGTCGTTAGTTTCTGGAATTGTCAAATTTGTTCTAAAACACAAGATTCAAAAATAAAGAACAATAACTAACAAGTTTGACAAGTGTTGAATTCTAAATTGGCACAAATTTACAACTTTAAAAACATGTAACGAATTGTTACCCAAACTATGGCAAGAGGGTCAGACTTGAATTGGGCAAGAGCTTTGTTATTCCATGTGTGATCCCCCATTGGACACTTTTGTTTCTTTCTAGCCAAATCACTGCAAAACCTATTGAATATGCCTCCCCCCTCTTAATTGGCTGCTTTTAAGAGTTTCTTTTCAAAAAACATGGCACCATCCTTTATCTTTCCCATCTTCTACATAAAAGACTTGTCTCACTTGAAAAGAGAGGACAACATCATAAGCATCAACACCTTCCCACGATTGTTTTAACTCTGCTATCAAAGGTTGCAAACAAACATTAATATCATTTCCTGGGCTCTTTTGGCCTGGAATTATCATTGACATTATGAGAGATGACTGTTTCATACACAACTATGGAGGCAAATTATAAGGGAACAATATCACTGGCCAAATACTGGATGAGGCACTTAATTTACCATATGGGTTGAAGCCGTCAGTAGCAAGACCAAGCCTTATATTACGAGGACATGAGGCAAACTCAGGATACCGAGCATCAAACTCTTTTCATGCTTAGGCATCTGCGGGATACCTCAAAATCCCATCATCCACATGATCATAATGGTGCCATGCCATATCCCTAGCTGTCTTAGATGACCTATACATCCTCTTTAATCTTGGAATTAATGAAAAATATTGTAACACTTTTCTTGCCTTTTTCTTCTTTTTCTGCCCTTATACTTCTGCTTCTTGATTTTGATCACTACTATCACTCGTATTGCACGCCTATCGAGAAGATCCACATGCACTACAAGATTCAACAGTTTCCCATTCTCCCCAATATAACATGCAATCACTTGGACAAGAATTAATCTCCTCGTATCCAAGTTCCAAAACCTTCATCATTCTTTTAGCTTCCTAAGTGGAGGATGGAAATGAAGATATTTGTGGAAATGCACTTATCAAGAGTTGCAATAACCAGGTAAATGACTTTTCAGACCACCCAAATGTACGTTTAAGACGTAATAACTGCAAGATGAAAGCCAATTTGGAGTAATTGGCGCAACCTGGATAGGGTTCATCCTCACAATCCTCCATTAGCTTATGATATCGGGCATCATTATCACTATAATCATGGCTAAGAGGCTCAATATTTGGCTCTTCATGCCCCTCCAAATCACGCATTGACACATTCACTTTTGTTTCACTTACCATCCCAAAGGCATCACGAACCAAATCCCCTATATCTTGGTTGCTAGTGTAGTTTATCTTGGTTGCTAGTGTAGTTTTTGGTTTGAGTAGAGCCCTCTCCACAATTTATATTTGAAGAACAAGGAATATCGTTATGATCTTCTATCACATGCGTTCCTCATGGAAAACCCATTGTCCATAAGCCTGCAAGAAACCCTTCTTGAAAACATCTTGTATCACATCTTATTTTTATACTACCGATTATAGCAACCCCTGCATGGACAACAAAATTTCCCTCCCATGCTGATTTTTCAAAAGCAAAGTCGAAGAAACAAGCAAAACCATCCATGAATCCTTTACTTTTAGCTGGTCTATCAATCCAAGACCTATCCATGTAGAATGATGACAAAATATGGAAATTGTACCTAAATATTTAAAAAGTAAGATTTCATAATTTATCGTCTTGTAATTGATCAGCAATAAACTATTCTATAAGGAAGCACTACATCACAAACTCCACTAAATTTTAAACAAGATGCACAAACATCTAATTAACCAAAAAAACATGTAAATAATACTTATTCAAGCCATGTACCGAATACTTATTAATAGAAAGTCAACACTTACTGTTAAACTATTATAAGCGCATATGTATCATGTATTTATGAGATATGATAGATATGTAAGCACACACACAAATGTTAAATATGGAAGAAAGAATAGTCCTCAATAACAATGTTTACCATTAAATTATTATATGTGCCTACATATCATGTATTTATGAGATATGATACATATGTAAGCAGACACAAAATGTTTAATATATTTCTCTAAATACATCATAGAGGTGAGAAATGATTCGGCTCTAACTAAATGAATCCTCTTCACTTGACCATATAAATCATAATCATTTATTTACAAGCCAAAAATTTAAGCCTGTGAAAGTTCCCTGACCAAATGAAAAGAATTGCGATTGAGCCATTTCCTTAAAATTTAAGATTACAACACGGATTTATTTGCTTGAGCAATGATTGTTCCCGAGTTATGAGCTAATCACAAAGCCTTTCGTCTCCATTGGCAGCATGCACAATGATTTAGGAGAATTCTTACAGATGATAGCTTGTGCATTGTCATTTTTCAAAGTTAAAAGACTTTTTAATGATGGGTCAATTTCCAACACAAGCTAAAACAAACTCATGTCCTAAATGCAAGAATAAAATGTCTGCCAAAAAATCCTAAGCCACATTTACATCTACAGCCTCATTGCTCACAAAGCCTTTCGTCTCTATTGGCAGCATGCACAATGATTTAGGAGAATTCTTACAGATGATAGCTTGTGCCTTGTCATTTTTCAAAGTTAAAAAGACTTTTTAATGATGGGTCAATTTCCAACACAAGTTAAAACAAACTCATGTCCTAAATGCAAGAATGAAATGCCTGCCAAAAAATGGTACCCTAAGCCACATTAACATCTACAGCCTCATTGCTCAATAACTAGAGACCAGCTGATTTACCAATCATTAGCACTAGAGACATGCAAGTGTGAATAAAATACACTCTGCTCATAGTTCTTTTCCATCTTTGGCTCAATAATCCTTCCAATGACCGCGTCATGCAATCATAGTTTTTTCTACTCAAACTCCTCTTAGGCTATCGAAAGTTCAATGCTCGAACATGTCTAGATTGATGGGGGAGCTAAGAAGACATGCTCTGTTTTGTGCAAAACTTTTACAAACTGGTATAACAGTAGTCAAGGTGTTTTTTTTAACTGAAATTTTTTATCAGAATTTGCTTGACTCTTTTCTTCAGGTTTTCACTGAATCGTATGAGATAGATGTTCAATTGTTCAATTAGCAGGAAATGGGAACAAGGGAACCCTTTCTGAGCTGTTGGACATGACAAACAAGAGGAAAAAAGATATTTAACAAATAGATTTAAAGATTTTTTCCCCCCGAAATTTAGATTTAAAACAAAGCTTGGCCAATGAAGCAATGAAACAATGCTGAAACAGATTTCAATGATGGGAAGGGGTAGCTTTTGTCATTTGACCCTCACAATGTTAATTTAGAAACACCGTTATATTTGGGGGGACATACTAACTCAATATTGAAGATATGGAAGGTTATTACACAAATGAAGATTTGAGAGGTAAATATGAAAATATAGAAGATTTGAGGGCTATATAGGTAAATAACCCTATATAAATTAGAAGGCTTATACTTTTCTTCTACGACTACGAGTAACAAGTTATATTCTTTTAACTATATTTTTATGTTTCAAATATAGCTTGCCTGAAAGAAAACGAGTACAATCAACCATTGCTACCTTTCGATTTAACCCTTCATGTGTCTTTTTCCCACAACGCCCATACTTCATGTATTTCAACTTTCAAAGTTGTTAAACTTTTGAGATTTATGAAGCAGACTCAGTTACATAGTGAACCTCAAGTTTTCTTAGAAAAACTCCATCAAAGTAATCATATATTGTATACTTTTTTTTTATGCAATACAATTACAAAAAACTATAATATTGAAAAAAATAGGCACCAACTCGATATTTTCTCTATCCTCTCAGAAAGTCGGAAAAAGCTTTTAGAGATGTGCTCCAACACACATCTTGAGACATTTTGAAGGATAATCGCCTCGAAGCTCAAAAGGAAAGTGATTTCACCATTGAGGCATACACCTCAAGTACTGAAAAGTTTGTGGTTTGAGTAATGGTGGCAAACAGGTAGGGTCGAGTCAATTAGGGTTCGGTCCAAATTGACCTGAGCCATATAAAATTCACTCAAACCAACTTGTTGATTTAACAGGTCACCCAACCCAAATCGTATATTAAATTAGTTGCACAACTTGTTTAACAAACCAAAATTTTTAATTAAGATGATATGTGGTTACACTCTAGTCAAGTAGTAATAACTGATCAGAAAAAAAGATAAAAAAAGTTAAAGTAGTATTAGATAAACAAAATCAAGCCTTAAACAGCTTGAGTTGGTCTCAAAGCTTCATTGTTTTTTTACTCTTCTAACCTTAGACAAATACATGAAAGCTTATTGTTAAAAAAATTTCAACCTTTCATTACCAACCTATATTACCTAGGTACTTCTATCTGAAGCCATATCCGACCCTACACCTACCCTGTGTGCACACCCCACATGTAACCCGTACCCAGACCAACACTTTCTTAGACGCTCCTGGAATATATGCATGCATTATTTGAGCGATTACTCAATTATATCATACATATTTTAATTGAAAACACTCATCAAACACTTCATGAATGCATATCCTACATTTCATATACACTTTCTCAAACTCATTACACATATTTTCAATTTCATATACACTTTCTAAAATTGAAAAGGAGGTGCAACCAAGCCCCAAACCCACTGTCCAAGAAAACAATTCCCAAATTACCCTTCTTCCCAATTAAAAACTCAATCTCTTTCCTCCTCCTAATCTGGCCCAAGACCTCCCCTTCCCCCACCACCTCCGACTGCGACGAGATGAAGAACCCGCTCGCCGCCGCCGCCGTCGCCGCCGCTGCGTGGCACCCGCCCTCCTCTAGCTCGTTGGTGCATGACGATTTTGTTGGGCTGTTTTCGTTTGAGTTCGCTTTTGTTTTTCCCATTAGGCCACTGAAGGCGCCGTTTCCATCTTGCTCTGTGCTTTGTCTCTGTTACGCGGAAAAGACCACATCTTTTATAGGCTCGGCTAAAGGCAGCCATTTGAAATCTCTGTTCTCAATGAGGGTTTGATCTGGGTTCTCCTAGATTTTTCTGAAAGGTATGGAAATGGCATCAAAATCTGATTTTTATGGTTATTTGATTGATGAGTTTTGATTGATTTTGGTACTTGCTTAGTGGGTCTTTGTTTGTTTTTGCTAAGAATTAGGGTTTGATTTTCTGTAGATCGGATGGTCTGAGATTTGTGAGGTTTGAATCTTATCATGGTTTGATGCCTTCTGCAGGTTGATTAAGTCC